ACACCTACACCAACAAGGTGGACAAGAAGGCCACCACACCTTATCTCTTAAAGAAGAAGAAAAATGACAAGGTGGTGGCCATCAAGGTGAACAAGCAAGCCAACAATGGGGTCAAACGCTTTTGGGTGCCAAAAGAGATCATTTCTAACATGAAGAGCACCAAGAAGGTTTGGATCCCAAAAGGAAAGTGAGAAGTCCAATCAACTATGGGAATTTGGAGGCTTGGCAAAGCATGGGTGCATTTCATGGGGTGCATCATGATGGACAAGATCGTTGCCAAGTGGGTTAGTGAATACTACGGACCCAAATTCTCCCTCCCATGTTAGGTAACTAGATTCAATTTCCTTCAAGTAATATCAATTTGCATTTCCTACAAGTGGTATTTCTTACAAATTGATATCTTTAAGCATCTAGTTACTTTTCATGCCTATGTTTGCATTTGCATGCTTATATCTTTTGTCATGCATACACTAGGTATAAATTATGGTAGGCTTGCTCGGTTTTATTCTTAACTCTTGGAGCAAACCTACATGGTTTAAAATTATTTAGGAGCACGGCACATAGCTTGTCTTTTGATTGTTCATCTAATATGTTCCAAAGTCCAAATTGTAGATAATTTCCTCCGAATATCATCTTCGAAAATGATTCTCACGTTCATAAGATGTCATCTTTCAAGTGGTATTATTGATTCTAAAATCAATGTGCATAGTTTCTACAAGTATTCCATACTTGTGTGCACAAAATTTAGGGGGAGGTTACTCTACAAGTTGGATGCTTTGAGACTAACACTTTTTCAAGCTTATCATGTGTGTAGTAGTCTCATTGCAAGGAAAATGGAGTCCCCAGAGTTAAGCATCATACTTCAAATATCTACCACCTATTGCAAGTGGTAGAAATCAAATTGGTTTCCACATGTGGTATTTCTAAACAGATATCATCATGTTGATTTCATTTTGATATTTATATGCTTTCTCCATGCATTATATAGATTAAATTCCCTTGAGCAATAATTTGCCAATTATGCATATGCTTTACTTTTTACCATATGTATGCATACTTTTAGGGGAGAGCTTAGTCTATATAATGTGAGAGTAAAATTGTGTGACCTATTCCACTCTACATACAAATGATCACAAAGTTTGATCCTCCCTTGTGCTACTAATGTCTTCCTTTTCGGTGTTTGATTTCAAAGGGGGAGAATTTAGAGGTCCAAAAGCAAGCACTAATTTGTAGGACCAAAAGCTAGATCATAATAATTTACAAGTGGTAAATGGTCCGAGAAAGGGAGGATAGTGGATTATGGATTAGCCTTTGTAAAGGGGAGAATTTGTGGCTTAAATCCATAAAACCACATGGGGACATTTGCAAGGGCAAGATAAGTGTTCAAGTGGTATCTTCTAATCTTACAAGTAGTATCTTTTAACATCATATAACCTTGCCCCTTGCATTGCATCCTAGCAAGTAGATAGTTTGTAAATTTCAAAATTTTATTATTTGCTTGCTTTGGTCGTGTTGTCATCAATCACCAAAAAGGGGGAGATTGTAAGGAAAATGGACCCTAGGCCCATTTGCTTTGGATTTTGGTGCTTGATGACCAACACAACCAAATTGGACAAATGAATTTGCAAGTGTTTGTTCTGTAGTTCAATAGGATGCAAGACGTGACTTGGACAAAGGCGACGTGATGATCCGATGATCAACACCTCAAGCAAGACCTTAGGAGCACAAGAGAAGACCCAAGATATCAAGCAAAGTCCAAGCACGAAGATAGGAACCAAGCCGTACGCAAGATCGCGAAGAAACGAGCTCACAGAGGTGACCGGACGCTGGACCGGACACTGGAGGAAAGTGACCGGACGCTTCGATCAAGAGGCTCGGCAACAGGCGTGACTGGACGCTGGCAGCAAATCGACCGGACGTAGGACAGCAGAGTCCGGTCGAGTACAGAGGTTCTAGAGCGGCGACATTACGACCGGACGCGTCCGGTGGCATGTGACCGGACGCTGGTAGCGTCCGATCAGTGGATCGTGGCTCTAACGGTCGGGACGACCGGACGCGTCCAGTCAGGACGTAATCAGCGTCCGGTCAGTAGCAGAAAAACGGGATTTTATCCCCAATGGCTACTTTCTCAGTGGGGCTTATAAATACCACCCCCAATCGATCAAATGAGGTGTGTGGAGCTGAGGAAACATACCAAGGGTGTTGATACACCATTTTAGTGATCTCCACTTGTATAGTGCTTAGTGTTTTATTAGGTGATTAGTGTAGGTGCTTTGCGAAGTGCTTAGGTTGATTAGACCACCGCTTATGCGCTTGCTCTAGGTTTAGGCCTAGTGTTTAGTGAGGTTTGCATACCTCTTACCACTCAGTGCTTGCGCGCACCATTGTTGTACATCGGAGGGGCTTGTAGTCTTGCGAGATCACACCAACCGTGTTTGTGCTGTGGCCACCATCGTGTACCGGAGGGAACAAGGCCCGCGGCGTTTCGGCCGGAAGCTTGATAGTGAAGACGGCAGGGAGCATCTAGGAGAGGGTTGCCGGAAGGCACGTCGGAGACCCACTTGCACGTAGGGAAGGCCGAGGCTATCCATGGAGTTATCCGACAGGAAGCTTGGCCCTTGCGAGGGATTCCTTGCGAGGGGCTCCAACGAGGACTAGGGGGAAGCTTGCGTGCTTCTCGATACCTTGGTAAAAATACCAGAGTCATCGACGGGAGTTTGCATATCTCTACCTTGCTCTTTAGCTTCTGCATTTACATTGATTGTATTACTCCTTTTGCGGTAGAGATAGCAACACACTAGCAAAACCGTAGTTGCACATTTAGATAATTTATCTTTTGTATAGGTTTTGCTAAGGGTAGAAAAAGAGGCCATAGTTAAGAGTTAGAATTTTAAGTTGCCTAATTCACCCTCCCCCCTCTTAGGCGTCTCGGTTCACTTCATCGGTGAAGCGACTTGGGCGGCGATCGGTTCTTGTGGCGACTGATCGGCAAATCAAAGTGTTGGAGTAAGAAGGTCTCTGATCGTGGCGGATCTCGTTGACCTGGCAATGCGCCGCTTTAAGCATTGCGGCGACCTTGGCGACCTCCGGCGTCTGCGGGAGCCGGGCGAGCTCGTTGGCAGCCACTGCCAGATTCGCACTTGGAGTCTTATAGACGTCGTGACCGTCGACATGGACAAACTCGTCATCGAGGTTGCAGTGGAGTGGTCTTCCCTGTGAGTCAAGTTGCTGCTCGGCCATCGCGAGAGCATTCTTGTTTGCTCGGCGTTGCGTGCGGTTGACGTTCTGGTTCTCACGAGCGGCGTGTTCCTCCTCGGTTTTGCCGTTCCGAGGGGGGCTGTCGATGCTGACGTTGAAGATTGCGCCACCACGGAACGGAGGGAGAGGAAGTTGCTCGGTGAAGGTTTTAGGCGAGGGTCTCCGTAGAGCCCTGGGACTCGAGCCCGAATTCTCCTCCGGGATGGTCTGGAGGGACGCTCCGGGGCGTCGGCTGACGTGGAGCATGTTGATGGCCGATGGAGGTTGGTCGGCGATCTGGTCGGCGAGAGAATGGATGTCTCCCACCTGATCGGCGAATTTGCCCCTCAGGGCATCTTGGGAGGTGGCGGCGACGTTGGTGAGCCCAAAGGGCAGAGCCGCAACTCCAGGAGTTTTCTGAGCAGCCTCCGATAGATTTGGATCGGAGGGTGGTCGGCGCTGAGCCAAAGTGTCTAGAGTCGATTCGGCGATAGAGAGGCAATCGATGAGCTTCAGACCGACCCGATCGATGGACTCGATCAGATCGTCATTGTTGACCTGCCTCCTCTAGTAGCGAGGAAGTGGGCGGCGAGTTGCTGATGAAGGCGGCCTCAGAGGTGGTTCCAAGATCGAATCTGCAGTTGCAGGTGCGGGGATGATCGACACATAATCGATCTGCGTCGGCTCGAGGAGCTCTCCGACTCCATCAGCGTTGATGATCCAGGAGATCGATCCGACCATGAAGATCTGGCCGGGCTGACGGGAGGGACGAAGAGTCTGCGGAAAAAGCCATCTTGTTCGACAAGGAAACAGCACGCAGCCCCCTACCTGGCATGCCAACTATCGACAGAATATCGTCGGCAGTCCTCCGAGGGGTATCCCACAAAGGTAAATTGATCGGCAGAGGAGCGTGAGATCAAGAATAAGAAGACAACAGAGACACACGAGTTAGACAAGTTCGGACCGTCAATATGACGTAATAACCTACTCATGTGGTCTGTTGGTTTGTATTAGCTATCGTATGATATTGCTTGTGTTTGGAGGAGGTCCTTACCCGCCTTATATAGTCCGAAGAGCAGGGTTACAAGTCGGTTAGATCTGAGAGATAACCGAAAAGTAATAACTGATTACAAAAATCTTGAGATCATACATATCCCAACATATCTCGTAGTATCTTCATGGTATCTTCCAAATGTTTTGCCGAGGAGCGCCGAGCAGAGTCGTGCCCCACAAGATTTTGTTTTGTGGGCTAGGCCGCCCCTGAGAATGCAGCCCATGTGGTCTGCCATGAGTATCCGAGGTCGTACCCCCACATCTTCCCACCCGGAAAATCTGATGTTTCACGCTGCCTTGTTCGCTTAGCTGATAAGTTATGATTGAAAGTACTATTAACTGATTTATTATAAGAAAAAAAATATAGTTTGTTGAGTGAAAAAGTACGATCGAACAGGGCGGAACATCGGAGAACCGGTACCAAACAGTCAGGGGATCGGTGGATTGGTGGATCGGAGAACCTTAGGAGCACAAATTCGGACCCGTACTAGTAGACCAACAAAAAAGAGAGACAAGACTAGAATTACAACCAGAAGTCCACTTTTCAAATGTATGCCGACAACTCACACCATACATACACGCACGCCAGAGTTTTAGGAGATACCCATCCTGGAGACCGGAGAGGCATGGGTACCTCTACATTGTCTTATGGATAGTATGTATAGAAAATTAAAGGGACAGTATTTCCAAAGCGCATGCAGTTGTCTTCCTCAGGATTGCGTAGGGCTGGCTGTCACACAACAAAACCATTTCTTCTGCAAACACAATAATATACAGTTAATGATAGAGTAGAAAGATCACAGGTTTAAGAGATGAAATTGGTGTTAGTGTCGTCAACTCGTCATCAGGTGGAGTTCAAAGAAGAGAATTCATACAAAGTCATGAAAAAAAAACGTACCGTGCTTGGTTTTGCAGCATAAGATTCCACCCTCTCAGTCCTAGTGTCCTTGGAAGGTGAATCAGTATCTTGTCCATTCCCACCCTTCTTCTCATCTCTGGCTTTGTTGAATATGACAGTAAATCCATCTGCAGAAGCTGGATCATTGACATCCCATTCACCAAACTTCGGCAAGGGGCGGCCTGATTCCTCCTGGTAAAAGCAGCATTATCCATGTCAAAAAGTAAATCTACTTGTTATTTTATACTTTGAGTAGCATAATACTGAAGCACTAGGTCGAGTCATAAATTTGTGTCCAAGCAATTGCTATTATTATAAATTAGAAATTACAAGCTTGTGTCAGCATGCAAAATATATAAGTGAGATTGTGTGACTGTGATCGAAATAGTAAAACACAGGCTTCTGCAAGCAGATAAATGCAGTCATGGTACAGAGGAGACCATTGAGGGAAAAACAGAAATATAAATCAAATATCATTCAAGAAGTTGGTGATGTGTTCCACAATATGCAGGTGTCCTAATGTGGGGCAAATGCAGCTATTAATGGCTGTATTCCATCATGTGCAGGCGTCTTGATGCAGAGAATGATGATACAGACCAGAGAATGATGATACAGACAAAACAGAATATTCAAAACACGGGAGGATATACTTGCAGTAATCGTGAATTACATAGCATGCCAGCATGGGACAATATTAGCTGCTCAAAATTCATTAGCACCAAAGACGAATTGTGTAACGTAGTTATTGACCTGTGAGTTGTGACCTATTGACAACTGAGTTAAATCAGAACATATATTCCTTGCTCGCAAAAAAAAAGAACATATATTCCTTATAAAAAAAACCGAACATATATATTCTAGAGATCAAACTAGCATCAAGAAAAGAGTTGCCATGTCAAGTTGTCAACAGTTTCCAAAAAATCATGTGGTCACCATGTACTGTTGAGCAGCTTTCATGGGAACATTCGGCATGATTCAATCGACAGCCCCATAAAACAGGAATTAGGTACATCCTTTATATGAAGGATAGGCTGCAGAATCATTATTTTTATTTGTAACAGATAAATTGGTCAGTGAACTACAATACAAAAATGGGATGTGATCTATCAGTATCTTCCTAAAAGGAAAACCCATCATTCCATTATGAAACCAACAATCAAGCTCCACAAGGTTCTAAGAAGTAATCGCCAAGCATGCTATTCAGATAAACACCAAGTCTCCAATGTAAGCTTTAGTAAGTAAAGTAGTTTTCTAAGTGTACTAGTAAGGCAACAGGCCTCTTGTGTGACCATTAGCCTCCGTATGTGCATAGTTCCGCATGCAGGAATAGAAGTCTCCGCATATTCATCAGTGACAGAAGTTCCTCCAAAGTCATCTATCCCCATCTCCATCCATCTGGCTTCCATCCAAACTTGGCATAGCTTTAATAATAATAATAATCTAATGCTGGATCAATAAAACTCCAGCTGATGGCACCAGCCACGAGTAGCAGACAAAGAACTGAATAAACGGTTTTCCGTTTCAGCATGTACACGGCAACGATTAAAGGCTGGGGTGCAAATTGACTTTGCTGTAGCTGCAGGTGAACCTTGCATCCTGTTTGTATCGATCTCGCTCATCGAATGCAAAGCAAAGCAGAGCAGTGGACTACGCAGACAATCAGAGGCCTCGAAACGAAAACGCTAACCAACCCGGCGCCCGGCGAAAAGAAACTCCTCCGCCCTACACATAATAGTTCTCCCGACCCGAGACTTGTAGGATACATCAATCAATCGATTTTGCGAACCCAGCTGAACCAGAGGAGAAAGAATCATCGCACTAGTTTCCTAGCCCTATCACATCGCGCGCAAACAACCCCGCTCCCAATCCACTCGGCCAGTCCACGCGACTTTGATGCCAAGCAACAGGAGAAACAAATCCCCGCTCGAAACTAGTCGTCCCGAAATCCCATGACAACACAATGCGAGCTCACCTCGATCAGGACAGCAAACACCGATTCCCCACAAGCTAACACCACCGCGGTGGGGTGGGGAAATAATAAGAGCGAAAAAAAAGAAGAGAACGGCAGAGAGGCAGCGCAGAGGCTTGCACGTACCGCCATGGATGGATTCCGCAGAGCAGAGGTCCCGATCCGCTGGGGGGCTGGGGCGGCGGCGGCGGCGGCTGCGCTGGGGAAAGCTTCTTCCCTTTCTCTCTCTCTGCTGCGGTTGCGGGTGGGAGGAGACGACGAAGAGGAAAGTCACGAATCGATGTGGAACGGAAAAGAAAAGGAAAGCAGGAGATGGAGAACTTGTACTGCCTGCCTCGAGTGGGGGGGGGGGGCACTGGAGTGAATTACCTTTCTGATTTCTCACTTCTCGCCTCCCCGTAAATAAATAAAGATAATAAAAACGGAGTAAAAATAACGGAAAAGCGCCTAAAAATCGCTTGTACCCGCCGGTTATCGGGGCCCGGGCGGCGCGATGCGCATGTGAGCCGAGCGGCCGGGGGGCCCGTAGGTCAGCCGGGGGCGGGTGGGAGGTGGGGGCAGCGGGGGGCGGGTTTGACCGGTGCGGCGGTGGCGACGCCGACGGGCGGACAGGGTGGAAATGCGAGGGGAGGTCGGGAGGGCCGCACGTCGGTGGTGAGTGGTGAGTGGTGACTGGTGCAGCCAGCGCTTGGCTGGCGCTCGGAATCTCTAGGCTGTGGCGTTGTTTACTTGCTACTTGGGTCTTCTTGGCCTCTTGGTCTTGGGGTTGGGGGCAGAAACCAATTCTTCTTCTGTTCTCAAATCAAAAGATTTGTTCGGCGAGCGTTCAAACTCGGGGCTGAAATTCGTCCCGTTTTTAGCCGTCGGCTCCGAGCTGGCTCGGCTGTGAGCTGTCTGTCCTGCCCTCCTGATGATATGATACCCGTGCGGCGGGGGGCGATGCGATGCCTGTTCGTGAGGGCGAGGGTAGTATTACACTATTATCACGAAATATGATAGTATGACAGCTCGGCATGTCATCGTGCTTAATACAGCAGCGTCTGAAACCTGACAGACAGAGCTCCGCCACGATTAAGAAAAAAAAAACAGGCCAGGATGCATCCACCGGCGTGCGTTCAGACTTGAGTCGAGGCTGTCCCCTCCACACCACCCCCGTTGTTTGTGTTGTGTCATCGCCAAGTCGCCGGCCCTGGAGTAAAGTAAACGGCACATCATGTGGCGTGGTGGTGCTGCTGCGGAGCTGCGTACCACCACGCTCCATCCACGCACGAGTATAAATTGCAAATTTGCCCTCCTGCTCACTGTTGAGACGCTGACTGCTCTTGGCTCTCGCGCCTCAGCAACGGCCACGTCAACCGTCCGCCCCAAAACCGAAACAAACTCAACTGGGCCGACCACGTGCTGTAGTCCTACTGTGCAAGTGCAACGGCCAAGTGGCCAACAGGCTCTCCCAACCACGAGGAGGAGAGTCGGAGAGAGGCAGAGAGGCCGCGCAGTTCGAACGTTGAACTGGTACACGCACGGTGCTTCGCTGGATGCAACTAGCACACTGCCTGCTCTACTCTGCTTTTGTCGTGCTCGTAGCATCCGCAGATCGCGCACCCCCATGGCGCCCCGCTCACGTGCCGCGCCGCTCCAGCGTGGAATTGCCACGGCTCGCGAGCACCACGTCAGCAACCAACCTTGGCTGACCGTGATTCTTTGCCGCTACCAAATTTGATCTAGTGCGGCCACCCAAACTCGTAATGCGGCCCAAAACGCACAACCGACGGACGGCCACCAATGCAGTCACCGAATCGCTCGTTTACCAGAGCAGTGAGCCGTCCAATGTCCTATGTCTCCGATATAAGGAAAACTGTCCAAACCGCCTCTGCAAACCATACATTGTTTTTTTTTTGAAAAAGGTAAAAGTATATTTGGCGTAGCGTCCGCCGTCGGACGTCATGAGCTCCGTCCAGTGTCTCTATGCGAGATGCAGCGACAGAGTACACAGATCGCGGACACAAACTCATTCGTCTTTGGAAATATTGTTGCCCTCAAGTTACAACTTGTTCATGCGTGCCTAGTACGATTATACGAAACCGTACTGACACTTGCCTAGTACTGACGTGTTCACATTCAAAAAAAAAACAAAACAAAAAAGTCTTCTGATGTCATCACATCGAATGTTTGCGGCCGATTGGAGTATTAAATGTGAACAAAATAAAAAATTAATTGCACAGTTTGGTGGGAAATTGCGAGACGAACGTTTTGAGCCTAATTAGTCCATGTTTGAATACTATTTGTCAAATAAAAACGAACGTGCTACAGTAACCCCAAAATCCAAATTCATCCAACTAAACAGGGGCAAGGTAAGGAAGTATGCCAAGCAAAAGGTTCTCGCTAGCAGTTAGTGCAGATTGCAGAATGTACATACAGTCACATGTCCAGCTGACCCGCACCAATTCATTCATACTCCTATTCCTATGTCACATATATTCTGTACGAGGCATACAAGAATGTTTCAATGAAGTGTATGTATAGCGAGCAGCTTCCTAAAGTTTGTAATGGGACAGTAGCCGTGTGTTTGGTTTGCGGGTTAAGCTTGGTTGGAGCGGATTTGACCCAGATGGTCATACGTTTGGTTGAGGAGCTGTGTGGGTAAGGTCCGACCTCAACCAAAAGACGCTTCGGCCGGACCAGCTCCAACCAACTCATCTACCAATACAGCTCCTCCCAGATGATCATGTGTTTGGTCGAGGAGCCGTGTGGGTTGAGGAGCTCCAACCAATATCCCTCTCAGATGCGGGTCGTCGCGATCCCTCCAATTCGGGCGGACGAGCTCGACCCAGATGGATGCCGTCGCGACCTCCGTCTCCTTCTCTGTCCCGTGTCCTCAGAGCTCGCGGCGGTGCCCGTGCCGGCCATAGGAGTTGCTCGCTGTCGATGAAATACGTCCGGCAGTCTACCGAGGGTTATGCCCACAGTAGTAAATGAATCGGTGGATGTGCGCGTGAGGGAACCGGATTGTGACACAGAATGCAAGAGACAGTGATTAGGCAGGTTCGGGCCGTCAGCTTGACGTAATACCCTATGTCCTGTGTCTTTGTGGATTGTATTATGAGATATTAGATGAAAACGAGGGGGTCCGTACCTGCCTTATATAGCTCATGAGGTAGGGTTACAAGTCGATTATTTCTATCCTGATCGGTTTACAAGATAGGAATAACAAAGATTGCAGAATCTAGCATATCCGAACAGATCGTCCTTGATCGCCAAGGATCCCCACGCAATCTTGCGAGGCACGTCAACCTGTGCCGTGCTCCGATCAGCGTAGTCTTACGGGCTGGGCCTGCCATGGTGGCTTGGCCCATGTACAGCCTTGTGGATATCGGGGATCATACCCCCACAGCTAGTCCCCGAACACCTTGTGTCCGCTGAGCAACACCATGTCGAGCTGTCGAACACGTCGTCCGAGCTGTTGAACACGGTGTCCGAGCTGTCAAACACGTCGTCCGAGCTATTGAACACGACGTCCGAGCTGTTGAAGCAGATGTCCGAGCATTTCAACTGGGAGCCAAGCTCGGACTCACATGAAGTCGAGGTTTGTCGGCAGGATGTAAGGAGCTCAAGTAAATTTTTTTTGAAGTCCCCATCTTAGATGAAGTGTGCCCACTTAGGTTCTGGGCAACGAAGTTAGACACTTAGCGTCCCTGACTTAGTCAGCGCGGAGGAACTTAGTCCCTCAGGAACGAAGAGAGATGCTTAGCATCAATGCCTTAGGCAAAATTGACTCTTAGAGCCAAAACAGGGATCTTGAATGATTACAGTCTACGACTTAGTCACTTTGTAGAAAACCAAGTCCAGAAATAAGCACATTTACCGCTAGGTGAAGTGTGCCCACTTAGTCCCCGAGCCTGGCAATAGGTGAAGTAATCATGTGGTGCCAGGGTCCAAAGTAGTAGTCATCAAGTGCAAACACAGTCTCCAACTTAGCTAAAAACTAGTCCCCAGCATAGCTGAGATAAGCAGCGTGAAAATAAGCACAGTCATCCCAAGATGATGCGTACACACGTAGTCCCCGAGTCTGCTGAAAATTACGAAGATATCTTGTAGTAGGGTCAGAGAAAGAAAATATCTTGTCGTAAATGTCTAAAAAACCCTGTCGAAGCAACGCTTAGCGTTGAATTCTGTTTCGTCGGCCCATGTTTGACGCGGTTTGACACAACGGCTCACCAGGCCCATTTGGTGGCCTAGCGGCGCACAGAGATTTCAGGAGAGAACACAGCAGGGCAGGCGTGGTTTCCCACAAACCCTAGGAGGCAAAGGGTCAGGGGTCAAACCGTTAGAAGAGCGCCATGGCCCCGGCGCACATTCCCCACTATCTCCGCGTCACTTCATCTTTCCTCCTTGCGCCCGTGCCACTGCGCCTGGCAACTGCTCCGCTATTAGAGCAACCGTAAGCACGTAGTCTCCTCCAGGCCACAGATATGTTAGATGGTGCCAAAAAGAACCCACGACGGCTTGAGTAGGCCAGCGTGCGAGCTCAATCGCACCGAGGAATGGGTGGAATCCGTCAGCAACGAGGCGGCGCTCAATCAGTTGCTAGTGCATGGTGTGTTGCCCGATAGGGTGACGACGGATGACATCCGGCACGTGGTTAGAGCTTTCCTCCTCGTCGTGGCGATGAATTAGTAGTTTTTGAAGATTACTTCTATCGTAGATTTGGCGTTCCAATCCATCCATTCCTCCGTGGGTTGATTGACTATTACGGGATCAGTATTTGCAATCTCAGCCCAAATTCCATCCTTCATGTCTTTGTCTTCATCCATGTGGCAGAATCTCCTAAATTATAGGGCCCACATGCACATGTCACTGTCCAATGACCTCTGATGACTATGCATATGTCCCCAGTAACTTAAGAAGACTGTCGGGTGTCCTCGGAGAACCCCGAATCATCCACGATTTCCGAGCAGGGTTACATTACAGAGTCATTGCAGTATTACAACAGTTTATTCAAATATATACATCAGAGTAAATCAGCGGAAGTCTTACAATAACATATTTTACAAACCATTTGTTTCAAACCATACAACTAAGTTCGATAAATAATACAAACCAAAGTAGTGGAGTGGCATTATAACATATTACAG